CATCGGGATCCATCCTTGCTTAGAGGAAAATTAATAAGTTGGATGGTTCCTTGGAATTAGGTTGAATAACGCAATGGGCAAATGTCATAGAGCCTATAAAATCCTTGTAGAAGGATTCGAAGGGATACTTTTCTTTGGCAGTCCACCGTGTGCAGGAAAACTCAAGTCTCCGATTACACCATTCCGAAATAAACGCTTAAACCACCATTCAATTATTACCGCTGGATTATTATTATTCATAATATACGCTGGATTATTATTATTCATAATATACGCTGTATATTATTATATTATTATTACTATTATATATTCTGTATATTACTATTCATAATATTTCGCGGAAATATTAGCGTTTAATAATTACCGCTAACAATACCAATAAATTAATAAATAAACGCTTAAGAACGCCATAAAGTTTTCTACATTCTTTATTAAGTTCAGCCCAAAGAATAGTTTTAATTAGACAACCAGCATTCCTTTCTTTACCTGGCAAACGACAAATCTGCAAGAGAGAGTGCATGCAAGATGAGAAAAAAATTGCAAAAAGCGCGGGAAGCATTGTTGTGTCCATGGAGGTGTGCCTTCATCACGCAAAAGAATGTAAAGCCTTCAGTTGTAATTAAATAGCCCAAGATATAAGTCATTGTTTTTCTATCTTTCATCAGTGACAGCAGAGCCTGGTTGTAAAAATATTTCTGTCGAATACGTTCATTAATAATTGTATTATTACCTCTTACACCATTCCGAATAAAATCAAGAAGGTTCTTACTTTCGCGCCATTTGGTCAACCATGTCAACGCCAAATTTTGTCTCATTATAATGACTATTTTATGTGTTTGCCTTTTATTGTTTTTGGGTTTGACGCATTTGTATGTTTATATCAAGAGTAAAAGTTCTTATTGAGATTTATTAACCCGATCCTACCACAGTCGTTACATCGTAGGTGTAACACTTTCGTCGACCTGCTTCGAATCTGCCTTTCAGAACCGAACGCGATTGTATCGCGTGCACCGTTGCAAGGATATACAAGGCATACAATTTTTGATAAGCTCGACACTGGGTCGGTTTACATCGGCCATTGTAATGCTCTCCTTTGTAACCCGGCTCGCCTTTTATGCGCTGGGTTGCGGCATTATATGTATAATCCAAGTACTTTCGTAATGGGCGTATTACAAAAAGGAGTCGCGGATTATGCGGGCGGCGCTGCGATCGTCGCGGGTATCGTATACAAGGTATCAACGCATTCCCGGCGGGTAGCTGGATAATTTATCGAATGATAAAGCTGCAAGGGACGCTGGATGGCCTGGGTTAACGCGTTTCGTACGTTTTTACAACCTCGCTGGCACAACACCGTGCGAATTAGAGTTATTAAATTTTTAGAGACCGCCAACGGCGAAATAGAACGAGGTTATACGTATCGAGTTATGGACTCCGTGGTCTCGGTGCTCGCTGGAGAATAATTGCAAGCATCTCATAAAAACGCGATTAATATTTCTATTCTAACCTGACTCTGTTATTAACCCCTTGACTACGGCAGATTTTGATACGCAGTGGCCGTACTAAACGGCAGGAATTGAGTTACGTTGTGCGCCATTTTTGTGAAAACAAGCACCCTCCGTGTCAGAAAGCCAAACTACGCCGAGCGCCTATAGGCGCCCTCCGTGTCACAAACGCAAAATTTCTAAGCGTTTATAGGCATCCTTCGTGTCACAAACGCAAAATTTCTAAGCGACCATAGACGCCATCCGTCACAAACGCAAAATTTCTAAGCGGCCATAGGCGCCATCCGTCACAAACGCAAAATTTCTAAGCGCCCATATGCGCCTTCCGTGTCACAAACGCAAAATTTCTAAGCGCCCATAGGCGTCTTCCGTGTCACAAACGCAAAATTTCTAAGCGCCCATAGGCGCCTTCCGTGTCACAAACGCAAAATTTCTAAGCGCCCATAGGCGCCATCCGTCACAAACGCAAAATTTCTAAACGGCCATAGGCGCCATCCGTCACAAACGCAAAATTTCTAAGCGTCCATATGCGCCTTCCGTGTCACAAACGCAAAATTTCTAAGCGCCCATATGCGCCATCCGTCACAAACGCAAAATTTCTAAGCGCCTATAGTAGCCCAGGGGGTTAAATAGATTCACGTGACTATTCCGTTTGTCTGTGTACCGTAGCGAAGGCACCTTGGTCAATTGTCGATGCCTTCTTCTCAGTATGCCGAATCCTTACGGGATACCGACCACTTAGGTTGTGTAATAAGGCGCCATTTGTCTTGTATGTACACTTTATTACACGATTTGATGGATTGTATGAGTGATTCGTGTATGCGTTGTATCGTCTCCACTTTCTGCCATTTTACTTTACCTGTCTTCTCGTTCTGTCCCAAACTACCGTCTCGATGCGTTGTGCCTGACTTCTCAAAACCGCCTGATGTTTCGTCTTTGACTTCTAACTATCGTCTGACTTGTCTAGTCCAGGTTTGCGGTGATTGGTGGAGAGTGATTGAAGGTGGATGTCAGTGCAGTTTCCCTTTGGTATTGTTTAGTTTCAAGATTTATGGGTATGTCTGTTTAGACACGTAGACACATGTGCGTCCCGTCTGTTGGATCTGGTCCCAAGTACTGCTGTCCATAGCCCTTGTCTTTGATTTATAATTTGCTAATCCTCAAGAAGCACGGTAAGGTACGTCATCCATGTATTATTGCCGTCGCAATAGTCTGTTTCTCGATGAATAAATAATACCATCGACATCCTAATTCTTAGTACCATCGACGAAATTGCAGACTATCCCGTCTACGAATTGGAAAATTAATAATCGAGCGACATACCGAGAATGCTAGTAATAGAAGCATCGATATGGATAGTTTCAGCATCAACGAAGCACAGTCGGAATTGTTAAGACGACGGTGCTGTGTGACAGATCGGATGGATTTTCGGTTTTGACGAAAACGTGGATGATCGATTGAACTAATCGCGGATCGCGACGTGGTATGGTGATATTTTTATCGCACGATGGTTCAGCCACGGGGAACTTATCTTATCACACACACCACCGGCCGTGACACGACGTGCACGTATAAGACGATAACATGGAAGAACGAAAACGGTCGGGGTGGAAAAGGATTCGCCAAAATCGCATTGTAAGCTCTTTGAAGATATCCCTCTCTCTGACTCGAGACGCGAAGCATAGAAGATCGTCGGATAATCTTTTTTCATGGGACCGTATATCTTTGCGGGGCAACGGCTATAGCGAGATACAAAATATGGCGGTGGCATCGACACGAGAAATTCTTTGAACTCGTGTAAGGAGATCCATCTTGGAATTCCTTTGCGAGAAGAGAAGCTGCCATGGTCGGAATATTTCCATCCTACGGGGGTGTGTAAACTCGCAAAGGGCTCAACGTATGGGTATTACTCGAAATTAACACGCTTAGGCCCGCTTGATGACTGACAGTGGGACAAAATTTGAGCATCATTTGGAAAAGAAGGAAAGTAATATGCATAAAATTAGGAGATACTGTTCTGAATTTTATAATAAGAAATCGTTAATGTTGGGACCAAAGATGGCGAAAAATTTAATACCAAAAGTTACCACCCTTTGTAATGACTGTGAAGAAATACCATACTTTTGTTCATCTTGTTCTTGAATATAGACATAAGTCGAGACATTTTACATGTAACGTCAATGTTAAAATGTTTTCTTTCTATTACATATTAATGTATGATTGTGTACGTGTCGGTCGCCAGCCAAATTCCTCTGTTCAAACGAATCAGTCTCTAAGCAATCGTTGTACAGTAACACACCGATCGAGTTGCCAATTATTAAAGCGTTGCCTTTCCATAATTAATGTTCCTTCCTTTTTTAACTCCACTGCAATCCCAAATTCTAAAACTTGTTTTAATAAATCGCAGTAATCTATTTTTAAATATTATGTTCTTTTTCTTAAAGCATTAATTGGATGAAAACCGAGCTCGGTTGAAGGAAATACTTAGTTTTACAGTCAGTACGTGAGGGCTAAAATATGCGGTGGTATCATCAACCTAAAGTCTGCTGCTGGTCCCAGAGGACCGAATTTGCGCAAACGGAAAGTCCGTAGGGATCAACGTGACGTTTAACGTGTTAATTATCGGCGTACTTCTTGGATGAATATAAAAACCTTATTTCTTAAACTTATCGAGTCCCTATTACCACACATATCCGATCTATAATACGATCCATACTCCCATCCACTTTTTTACGCGTTATTGCATTTTATGGAAAAAATATTCCGATGTAGGTATCGAAGGTAAAATATAAATCTTGCATAAAATATCTAGGACGAAAAACTTTTGACGACTCAATTTAAATAAGAACGTAAGAAGGTGTAGAGACTGCAGAAATGAGAAGCGGAAATGAACTTCTTGGACTAAAATATCTTCGAAACGAAAACTTAGAAAATTAAGATAATTAAGATAGTTGACAGTTTAAGGACTGCGATGAATATTAACCCATTGACTGCCACATTTAAATCACATGATTCCCTCAGGACGCCATTTTATTTTTAATCCAGTGCATCGCTAGATACAAGATTTGTTCTAATATTTTTTAAATCGATGATCTAATAAAAATTTGTATTCGTTTAATAGGGTACTCTTTATTTCAAAGTATCTTCTAATTAGCTGTTATATTAAAAATGCACTAACTGTCAAGTTTTATTTAATTTTTATAATTGTAAGTAGCTGAAGCGCTCCTGTCACTAATGACCACTATGGCGTCACAGAGAAACCATGTCCGGTCATATATGACCAACGTGGCAGTCAAAGTGTTAACCTACGACACCTGTCAAACTATTACACAAATCGATCCATTGCAATATTGTCTTAACTTTGACAGGATTCGTCAGATATGAAAACACCATAGATAATCGCGTTACCTACTCGGTACTTCGTAAATAAAATATTTCACTTAATTCACCCTCTTCTCTACGACCCCAACGTAATAATAGACGTTCCTATTGTTTCAGTGCGGTGGATATCCATGCGTGGAGAACGTGAAGCGCAAATCGCCGAGGGTAAGTGCGACGCAACCCCTAAACGCCAGAAACGCGACTTTCCCCTGATTTCCGTCGTTCTTGCGAAGCGACATCGAATCGAATATACCCGCGTGTATCGAAGCCGGCATGGAAATTAGATTTCAAAGGCCGTACGTAGCTGAAGACGATAAGGTGGTCCCGTGATCCGTCTCCCTTGCGCCCCGTCGACTTGCCGTGACGGGGCGAGGAAAGAAGCTTCGCAGGATGAATTTGTGGGTATTCAGACGTCTTTCTTATGTAATCAAATTACGCGAATCCAATTAATAGAGTCTCGATAACGCGACGACACGCTGCACCGCCCGACTTCGTTCGCTCGTCTGCACGCAGGGGTATGGGTGTACTCGCGCGATCACACGCGCAACGCAGGTGCGCGCGAGCGCATACGCGATCGTAATTAACCGCACATTCGATGCATGTATGCAGAAACCACGCGTTGTTTGCGAATAGCAATTCGGAGCGTACGGGATTGAATGTAACATGGGACACACAACGCGCGGGAATGCGCATGGTATCGTCCTGTGTGTTCGTCTTACGAGCCTATTACCGAACTTGGCCCTGCTTGCCCATAGGATTGTTCAGTGAGTGATTATGCGGCCGAAAATGAGCAAGATTTGCGGAACACCGGCAAATGATAGCTAGCTCGCGTCGCTGGAACGTGTTATACCGGATGCAAATTGCTGCACAGGCTATTCGGCAATTGGCTGCGTTCGACAAAATGTTCGATTCGACCAAAAAATTTGGCAAGCTTAGTCTTACACCGGAATTAAACACCTCGAATATTATACCCGTTTTGAGGTGCCAATGAAAAATAAAATATAATATATATAACTAATTCATAAACTTTTATACGATTTAATAATTTAAACTTGGAGAAGACATGTGTTTGACGAAATATCATACGATTCGTTCAAAAAATTTGGCATGTTCAATCTTACAGCAGGATTAAACACGTCGAATATTATGCTCGTTTTGTGTCACTAATGAAAAATAAAAGATAATATATGTATATAACTGATACATAAAGTTTTAAACGATTTAACAATTTAAACTTGGAGAAGACATTCTATGTGATGATACTATATAACTATGGCGAACTGGAACAAAGGAATAGCAAAATATAAGCCGTTCACTGCACAAATCGATTAACTCCACTTTTCGAAAAATCTTAAATATAAAAAGTTAAGACTATACCAAGTGTTTTGACACTTAAATTTAAGATTTTCCAAAAAGTGGAGTTAATCGATTTGTGCAGTGAACTGCTCATATGAAAGTCTTAATTGTAGCAAACTGAACGTTTGTTACTTGGCATATTTGCATGGAATTAAGCTATAATGGGAACGTTCATATTTGGAATTAGAAATGGGCCTGGAGTCTGGATGGAGACGGAACCACAATAGGGTTAATAATAATTAGTAATGTCTTCCTAACAGTGGTCACGGATCTCTGCTGATTTGATTGGGAATTAAAGCGGTTAGTGTTGACATATAGCAAATAGAGTCGGAATAATTAACGCAATAATGTTACATGGCAATTAAATTTATGGAAAATTTGTTCTGTGGAGGGTGATTAATGCCAGGAGCAGTTTAATCGAACATCAAACTACCCTTCGATCTCGATCGAGTTCTAACACTCGTGATAATAGCTATTAATTGGTACTAATGAATTAGACAACTATAATTGTCAGAGAGTTAATTTTCTAAAATTAATCCAAAGTAAAGATACTCGAGACGAAGATACTGATGGACATTCGTGCAGGCGGAAAATAAATTTAAATGGATGAATATTCGGAAAATGAAATCAAGGATTAACTGCAAATAGCATGGGCGATAAGAATATCGGGAAGACGGAGAGAAAATCAGCGCGGAGCAAAGCGTAGGCAGAAGAGGATAAGACGAGGTAAAGTCGAAAATGGCGTGGAAGGAGAAAATGTGAAAACAATGCGCCGCACGTATGTACATACGTACAGTGCATACAACTGCATTGCGTCAGATGCATCGTATGCTCGCTGGAATAACGATACGTCGCTTCGTCGCCTAGCGTGCCGTTGTGATTTGCTACGGAGCAACAATATTACACGTTCTCTCGTCTATTTTCCGCCTGACACCAAACTGCTGCCACTCGCTATGCGAAATTATTTGAACCACTCTCCTTCTACCTGACGGAACGAAATTTCGGCATCCGGGGAAAATTCAATCCGCCGTTATTCGCTCGAGCTTTTCCCATTTCTCGGGGCGATCCGCGTTATTTCTATCTCTCCGTCGTATCGACGGGAACAACGGAAACAATTTTGCTCTAACGCCGCTGCAAAGAAGTCGCGAATTTATCCTACTCCGTGTAATTGCACGCTTAGAACTTCGAAGCCATACTCGCGAAAGAGGGCTTAATTAATTGCAGTCTCCACTGATATCGCTTCTCGCTTTGAGAGAAATTATCATTCGCAATTAGCGCGATACTTGAAGGGCCCGAATACGTAAGACGAGAGAGCTTTGTTTGGTTTAATACGAACCTAATGATGTATCGATAATGTACGAAAGAGACCTGCATAGTATCGGTGTGTTACGAAAATTTCAATAGGGCTGTTTAGGCAAACTAATACTAGATTAATTGCAATATCGTTAAGAATTAGACGATCCAAAACTCCCTGTTAATGATTTTCGAAACAGTGCACAGTTCTCTTTCTATATGATAGGCATTCATCGTGTAAAAAGTATCATAGATGAATTATGTATACGTACGTGATGAGAAAGATCATGAAGTCGAGTGACAAAGCGACAACGTTGAATGCAGAACTCTCAAACCAAAGTTCAGATTTTACTGAGCTTACAAGGAGAGGACGAGTCTTTCGGGTCATTGATTTAGTTGAAACTTTGCAGGTTTGTAGATTTAGTCACCCAGTTCAAGAAAATGTATCATTATAAAAGATCTACTCAATAGTTTTTGAGACACTTGCGATTAAAGTTATATTATCGCCTTAATTACAAATTTGTTTCGAATATTTATCAAATACCATTGTGACCTAATGGCGACATCCGAAAATTTTCATGCTGATGATGGCCTTGAGGTTTGATCTTGTTCATAATTAATAGCTTTTTCTTTCAATCTGCTTTTATTTTGTATTAATTTTCCGTCCATGAAAACAAAATATTTTAAATAAATTGTAAATAAAATTTCTTAATAAAAATATTAAAAATGCTAGTATATATTTGACATTTTTGAAAATATTAATTAAGTCAGTTTTCTTAAAGGCTTATTAATAAATAGCAGATTTCCTATAATAATATTCCCTGCTTTTATGATAAGCACCACTGTTGTAATCAACAATATGTAAGTACCTCTTTATTAAAAAATTTTATTCACAATTTATTTAAAATTATATGTTTCCATGGGCGAAAAATTAATGCAAAATAAAATATAGATGGATAAAAATTATTACCTGGGCCACTAGCGTAGGAATTTTCGGATGTCACCATTAAGCCACAATGGCACATGATAAATATAGATAACTATACGGAAGTTAATATCGGTAGTCAAGAATAATAAAGCTTTAATCATAAATATCTGAAAAACTATCGGAGGAATCCTTATTTAGATAGCTTCACTCTGCATCGGGATCTATCTTTGCTTCGAGGACCCATTTAGTTTATTAATTCTCCTCGAAGCTGAATTGAGTAACACAACGAGCTGTCACAGAGTCCATGAAAACCTTGCCGAAGGGTTCAATGTAACACTCTTTAGGCAGTCCACCGTATGCAACACGCATCATGGAAGATTTATTATTTATTAATTCTTTATAATTTATTAACCCGTTCTTACCACATTATAATGGTATATTTTCTTGAACTGGACGACTATTTAGTCATCTACAAACCAAGCCAAGTTTCTGCAAAGTTCAACTAAATCAACGACCCGAAGGACTCGCACTCTCCTTGTTAGATGGGCTGTAACACCGCTAGATTCTTGCTCCCCCTGTCTAACGTTCGAATAGACTTCCTAGAAGCCGAAACATCGATTATTTCGTCCATATTCCGTCTACACGGAACACTCCTTTTCCCCCGATAATTGACATTATTAGAGCCCGTGCATTATCTATCTTCATCCATCCCGGGCTAAGCGAAATTTACACCGATGCGTATCATAAATCCCTGGCGAAAGGTTCCTCCGGGCGCACAAGCCGCGCAGGAAGAAGCCACGTTGGGCAAGATCGATCGTTCGGAAAGGATTGCACTCTTTCGAAAGGATTCGTACGTTGGGCTGCATGGAAAGTGGGCCGCGAGGATGGAGGCGGGCGAATCGTTAGCAGAAATGAAAACAAATTGCCTGGGTGGGCGGCTTCCGAGAGGCGAAGCCGCCGGGCAAAAGTGTGATTTGACAAATGGCGTATGATAAAAGCGCGCAATGTTCATTAAGGGAAATGGTCCGCGGCCTGGTAATGCAACTCCGATCATAAAACTGATGCATTGTAAACACGTTTAGGCATCGCATGCCGGCCATATCGAGCGATATCTTCCACGCGAACCGGGTTACAGCTTCATACGTCAATGGGCCAGCGATGCCTTTTACGACTTTATGTCCTCCGGGTTTAAGTACGCTTTTAACCCTTTCACTGCCTACTCTAAGATTTCAAATTTTCCGCCCGCTCTATGCACTCGCTGCACCCGACGAGGACTTCTCGCTCAACTGAATACCCTTTTCAGGTTTCCCGCGCGTGTAAAACCCGCCACCCGTTAAATTATTCAGCCATTTTTGTTATTCTCCTTCGTGCATCCCGTGGCATCAATTTCGTCTTACTTCTGCTGGTGATTCCTCGTGAAAGGACGCGTTGGCAGAGAGATTCGTTGTACCCAGTTTAATGATACCGCGGCGAAATTGTAAATGGAAGAAGGGGTCTCTAGGAGTGGAAATTTCATAGCGATGCAATAATAAATCTTCGACATACCGCTGATCTCTTCTTCTAAGATCGTCTTTTGTATACGAAAGCA